AGACCCCCTGGGACGAGGTGGGCCCAGTGACTAAGGTGGCTTAAAGGGGCACATGCACACATGCCACAAGCAGCATTTGCGTTATCTTCGTTGTGAAGATGAAGTCCCTGGCCCTCAGCACTCTCTCTTCTTCCTCCCGCAAGCTGCCCCAGTGGTGATGATGGTGGCCCAACGCCGACCCTGTGGACAGGAGTCCAGCCCTCGGGGACGGTGGAGCAACCAGGTGTCGGAGAATCTGAGTCCCTGAATGACTGTGAATGACTGCCCCAGCCTGGCAGCTCTCTTGGGAAGCTGGAATGGGCAAGGGGTAAATGGGTCCCCCTTCATCCACAGAGCCTCACCTAAGACACCAGGGAAGCCGGCTTTTTCTCCCACTGCCTGCAGCTTGGTCCTGAGCCACTGCCGGGCCTCAGCAGCATCCCCGATGCCAGATGCCAGCTCCTGTGCCTCTGCGGTCTCCGTGAAGATGTCCTCGAGCTCTGCCAGGGTCTTGGACTGAAACCCCAAACCATGGCTTGGCTACCTGACTTCTTGGTCAGTCCCTCCTCAGCCTCATCACCCACCTCTACCCACAGCTGACCAGGGAACCAGGCCCCCTGCTCCACCCCTATTCTCTGGAAACAGGAAGAAAGGTCCAGAGCCAGAGCCCTGCAGAGTTGGGAGGGTCCTCTGTTCACCACTGCGGCCCAGAGGGGGCTGTCCAGGGCTACACAGCTGACCCGTCACAGAACTGGAACTGGATGCCTGGCCTTCCTGCTTCAGCCAGAAGCTCATTCCTCTCCACCCAGCCCATGCCATGCCCTGAGGCTCTGTGTCCAGCCCCACTGTCCAGGGTGTCACCCAGCCAGGTTAGGACCCAGCACGACAGAAACCTTCTAATGAGGCCAGCCTTCCAGTCCCCACCCCACCATGTCACTCATGGTGACAGGCCTCAGAGGGCGAGCAGAGAGGGGACTCTGCCTTTCTGGAGAAGACTTCTCGGCTGGAAAGGGGCAGTGCTGAGCCCCAGGACCCAGGCACATACCTGCAGCCTGCAGTGCAGACCTGGGAGGTCGCAGTGGGCCCCGAAGGTGGCCTGGAAGGCGTGCAGGAGGAGGGTGGTGTAGGTGCTGTGCGGAGAGTGCCTGGGCGAGCTCAGCTTGTCGGCCACGGCGAGGAACTCGGCCTGCACCTCCACCGGGTTCAGCAACAGCACGGTGCTGGGGACAAGAGGACTGGCTGTGGACACTGGGGGCGGGGGATGGCCACAGAGCCGGTGGCCCCGGCCTCCTCACAGACCAGGTGGGGCCTGAGGCCAGGAGAGAGGCTAGGGCTTACGAGCCCCCAGTACCAAGGGGACAGCTTATGGTCAACTTTTTAGTAGTTTTCAGCTCTTGTTTTCAAAGACCTTTTAAAAACTGAACTTAATTTTCAAGAATAAATTTTATTTCAACTTTTATATAAAACATTTTTTTTCCTACAGGACAGATGCAAGATTATGCAAAAAAGGATCATCCTTCAGGTGAGGTGACTTGAAGTTAGGTGGTCATTTTGGGGAGGGGGTGGCAACACAGCCACGTGCTGTCACGCGTGGTGCGGCCTGAAATCGCAGCCGGAGCGCTGCTCCTGAAGCCAGGGGGTGGGGTGTGGGCAGCATGAGCCAGGAGGAAGGGCTGCTCTGACTCCTCTGCTCACAGGGGAGCCCCTCCTAACTTGCCAAAGTCATCACACAGGCCAGCATCGGGCCAGGGGCGTCCAGTCACCTCCGCCTCCCCTCCCCCGGACCCTTGGCTCTCTCCTGATGCCAGTGTTCCAATGTCCTCATTATGGAGAATTTCAAACGTATCGAAATGCGAAAAGAATCGTGAATGCCAAGGCGTTGACCACTCAGTTAACAGTTAACACGTGGCTGTTCTCACGTCACCTACCCCAACCTGACCCCTGAGACGGCTTTTCTCGACGGCATTCCAGCCAGCTCGGTTACACCTGTAAGCGCTTTAGTATGAGCCACTCACACCTGCTCTCACGCTCTCAGAAAGCCGCGCTGCGTTTAAACCCAGTGCAAGGAAGCACCGGACAGGTGGCCCTCTCGCCAGTGTCTGTGGATGGCCGTCCCAGAGCTGGCCCTGGCGTCAGGACTCAGGAACGGGACCAGAATCTGTCAGAGTCCCCATGGTTTAGGGAGGAACTCATCTTGATCTCTCTACTTGTAAGAAAAAAGGAGCCGGCTCACGCAAGGGGTCCCTCACTGAGCCCCCCTCCCTCACCAGCCACTAGTCATTCCCTCAAGGGCATGCATCGAGCTCCACTGTGTCCAGGGCCAGGCCAGCCACACCCATGCCCTCCCCACCTGCACACTTCCTCTGCACGCTTGTCCCCACGTACAGATAACCAAAGCGAGACTGTCTCTCAGCTCTAAGCTCTTTCTGCAAACCTCTCTGTGCCTCAGTTCCCGGACCTTCCTCACAGGGTTAACACAAGGGCTGAGTGATTCAGTGATGCTCACGACAGGGCCCGGGGCTCAGCAAGTGCCTAGAAGATACTGGTGACCACCTGCCTTCCACCTACCTCAGCACCCTGGTGGCGTCCTACTTACTTACTCAGTTACTAAAGCAACATTAGAGTTTTTTTTTTTTTTTAATGTTCTTTCTGTCTCTCTCGAAATCTGCCACTGGCTTTTTTGTTTTTACCAAGAAGGAACTCAACAAAAGCTTGCTTAGTGAATGTGCCCTGCATCCCTGGGGCTGAGGTTGGGGAGGGGCTGGGGCGACTATAACTTTTGAGCTGGTGGAGGAGGGGGGAGTCTCTGGGCTCTCTCTTGGTGAAACACCACCCATGGGCGGGGAGAGCTGCCGGAGGGTTCCTCAGAACGGAGGCTTCCTCTCTGGTGCTTTTCCAGCTGCAGGCAGGGACCCAGGAGTGCGTAATGAAACCACTTTGAGGACTAACAACCAGAAGTGTCTTTTAAATGAAATGGACCAGAATAGGTCAGAGCTCATCCCAGGGAGAGGGTGAGTTTCGTTTCCTGAAACTTGTCTCAGTTCTGTGTGCGTGTATACACCAGGCGTTTATATAAAATGCATCTTTATTGTACCTGGTCAGTTTGGAAAAGGCTGTTTTACTAACAGGCAGAAAGATGTTATAGAATGAACCTGGGCTTTTGAGTCTACCTGAGGCTCAAATCCTGGTTCAGACACTTGCTAGCTGTGTGATCTTGGGGAAGTTACTTGGCCTCTCTGACCTTCAGTTTCCTCATCTGGAAAAGGGGGGTGTAAAGTAACATAATGTGTGCTCAGCACCTGGCACAATCAAGGCAGGTGGTTTTAACCTGCTTTTGTTTGTTTGTTTTTAAAGTCTCAGACCCATTTAGGAATCTGATAAAAGAACTTTAACCCAGAAAAATGAACCTGTGCACAAAACATCACACAACCCCCCATTCCTCACGCCCCAGGAGCACTTACACGGTGGAGCTGCGGTGACTCCTCGTGGACAGGCCCTGCTCAGCCCTCACCAGTCGCTGGTAGGAGATTCCTGTGGCCAAAAACAACAACAACAAAAGCCAGTTCATGGGTTACCCTGTTCCTTCAGCAGTCATGGCCCTGCACCTCGCAGGAGCCTGGCCCTGGAGAATCAGGCTGGGAGCTCCTGGACCAGGGGAGGGGCTGATCAGACCTGTGGCCTCCAGGGCCTTTAATAAGCCCTATTCCCAGACCTCATCTCGGCCCTACCTGTCCCAAAAAGCTTCACTGTGCAGCGACTATGGGGCAGGGCGTCCTGGGAGAAGAACAGGACCCACGAGGCTGCCGGGTCTCCTGCTGTCCAGCTGGTCCTGGTTCCTGTCACTACGGCCCATTCCCAGTCCCAGGTGTCCTCCCATGGTGGGTGTGTCAGGCACCCCTCACCTCAGCCTCAGCACCAGCCGGCCCCACCTTCCTCTCAGCATCTCAGCCTTGCTTCGCACATGCTCTCGGGGGCCCTCACGGACCCCGGGCCTGCCTGGCGTTGTCCCTCTTTCAGGCTGAGCCACTGCACCGCAGCCCCCGTCTTGGTCCTCCTCTCTGGCCTCATCCACCTCTCCGTCTCCTCGGATTCAAATGTGCAGGGAAGCAGCGAGCCAAGTCCTCCCCTTCTCCCTGCAACCTGACTCAGTTCTGCAGCTGGAGAACAGACCCTCCCAGGACGTCTTCAGTTCTGTGTCAACCACGGGGAGATAAAACCACAGTTCACTCTTCCCAACGACAAGGGTAACACAAGCCAGGGCTGGGACTCAGAGGGCAGGCAGCCTCCTTGTTAGAGCCTGGACATTGTCATGGGGGCCCCTGCCGGAGGGTGGGCTGGCCAACCTGGACTGGGTGTGAGCTGGGAGCAGGAAGGCCAGCCCCACGGAGAAGAGCAAAGCCATCACTGGGGATAGAGACAGCTGTAAACAGAAGAGCCAGGATTTTTGTTTAGTAAATGGCCCCAAATTCCCAATTTATGCTATTCCAACATAGGACCGAGTTGCTTTGATATGGGGCCTTTTGTTTGATGTGTCTCTTAGGGAACCGTCCCATGTTTAGAAGTGTATGTGATGTCTATTTTGATAGGAAAGTCCCTGAAACAGTGGTGATTACTATCGGGGCTCAGGACACCACCTGGTGGCCACTTGCAGGCATGACAGAAAAGTCCCCTACGGCCCCTTAACCCCCAACAAAGGGCTGCAGGAGTGCATCCCCCCGACCCCCATCCCCTGCCCCCCAGTCTCTCCGACTCCAAAACACACAGACAGCAAAGTCTTCTCTTGACCCTTCTGCACTTTTCTTATACTATGTAATGTTTTAACAAGGAACGCACATCCCACTGACCAGTAGCTACCCCCTCAGTTCTGCCCCCCCCCCCCCCGTCGCCGGACAGGCGGGCCGGGGCCACGCCCCCTCCCGGGGCAGCGGGTGGTGATCACTCTCCCTCTTCATCTGGTTCCCTCCCAAACGCAGGCCTCAGCCTTCAATCCCACTGCCCCTGAAGCTTAGAGCTTCCCGGTCACAGGGCTCAGCACCTCAGCCAATTCCTCCTTGCACTGCCTTTCTTTCAAGTGTTTGATACTGTTAACAACTTTCTCCTTAAAACCTCCTCTTCCCCTTTGGTCTCCGTAGCAAGGAACATCCTCTAACATCCTTTATTTCTCCACCTGCTTATCTTAGGACGCTTTAATGGTCTCATCCCGGGGCCGTGATGTCATTAGAGCTGGGAGCTGCAGTTTGCCTGATTTCTTTGCATGAGTGGGGGGACCCAGAGGGAGCTGCTTCCAGAGCTGACTGGCTGGTGCTGAGCAGTCCAGATTCCAGCATTTCCCGAGGGGCACCCAGAGCATCAACTGGAGCTCTCTACCCCTCCCCCAAAGACAGCCATCAAATCCCCGCTCCGCGGCTTCTCCTGATAATGGACCTCCACTTTTCGGGAGCCTCAGGGTGATGGCCCCCCTCCTCCCTTCGACTTTCACCTCTCTTCTCTGGGCACCTCAGTAGAAAGAAACAACTTTCTTAGTTTAGGGACCGTCTTTCTTAGACCAAGGCTGGCCCAAGGGCTGAACAAAAAACCTGCCTAGGGGTTTCTGTGCCAGGTCCTGACAAGCAGAAATTCAAAAGGGCCACCTCATGCAGGAGAGGGATGGGTCCTGGCAGTGGGAGCCGGTGGGGGGGGCTGCCACAGTGAGGTTCAGACACCTCGTCCAGGCGCGTGGGCCCCTTCGCAGCTGACCCTTGTTTACCGACCTGTGCTTCCCCTCTTTTTTATTTTTTTTATTTTAAAAATACAAATATTCCTTTTTTAACTGAAGCATGGTTGGTTTACAATGTTGTGTTAACTTGTTTGGGGTGGAGGTAATTAGGTTTACCTATTTATTAATTTTAATGGGGGATGGGGGATGGAACCCAGGACCTCATGCATTGTGCATGCTAAGCATGCTCTACCACTGAGCTATACCCTCCCTGCCTCCTCTTTTTTAAAAGTCGTGACTAGAAATGGCCATTCTGCACAGAGCAGCTGACTATGAAGACAGAGGATGCGTGACAGTCCCCACTGCTGTCATGGAGCTGGAACTGGTACCAGGTTCAGGACGCTCCTACAGAACGCTCGGGCTGAGGACATGAGACGGGGCCTGGGCAGCCACAAGGTGGGCAGCAACAGCACTGTCCCCGTTTGCCTGACGTTTTCCCCTTAGAAGGCGAGCACCACCATTCCGCGGGGTCGCCTGCGCTGACACAAGGCAGGGGAAGCCCAGACCTAGCAGGAGACAGTGCTGTTCCTCTTCCTGTGTCTACAGTGAACGTCCCCTCGGTCTGGAGTCTGAGTCTGACCCACACCGTACCCTGATACAAACACTCCCAGCAGCCGGCTTCCTCTGATGCTTTCCTCCCTCCCAGGGTCCCCTGACTAACCCCTTCCTGCCTCTCAGCTCAGGGAGCCTGGGTTCTAAAGAGCTGGCAGGAATTGGGGGTATAAACCTTTCATTCATTCATAATCACAGATAAAATGTATAAAATACAAATTCTTTGATCAGTCACATCCAAGAGAAACTTACTGCCACTGAAGAATATTCAGAATTCACCTGCCACCAGTTGAGAGACAAAACTGATTAATCCAGGTGTGTTCCTGCTTTGAAAGGAGGTCAAAGGGTGGGCAGGCGCTCAGTGAAAGGAAAAGGGGCAGGAGAAGCTGCCCACCGGCCAGGAGCGCTGGCCAGCCCACAGTCTCTCATCGCACACAACCACCTGCCTATGCCTCCTAGTAGAAACACAGCTTCGTGCAAACATGAGAATGTGATGTTTGGAATCAAACAATATGGCTTCTGGAATCGAATGGACATGGGTTCAAGTGTTAGAACTCTTGTTGGCTTTGTGACCACAGGCCAACTACTTAATTATCTGGCCTTCAGTTTCATCAACTGAAAGATGGGAATTACCCAGGGGGATGGTCTGAGGATAGATGACACCCAGCCTCAGCAGTGATGCAACCATCGCCATCACCGCCAATGCCATCCTCGTCATCAACAATGGCAGCCCTACTTTTTAAATTGAAATATACTTGATTTACAATGTTGTGTTAGTTTCAGGGGTACAGCAAAGTGATTCAGTTACACATATATTTTTTTCAGATTCTTTTCTGTTATAGGTTGTTACAAGATACTGAATATAGTTCCCTGTGTCCACAGTAGGACCGTGTTGTTTATCTATTTTATATATAATAGTGTGTATCTGTTCATCTCAAACTCCTAATTTATCCCTCCGCCCCTTTCTCCTCGGTAACCATAAGTTTGTTTTCTATGTCGATGAGTCTGTTTCTGTTTTATAAATAAGTTCATCTGTATCATTTTTTAAGATTCCACATATTAAGTGATATCATATAATATTTGCCTTTCTCTGTCTGACTTACTTCACTTAGTGTGATCATCTCTAGGTCCATCCATGTTGCTGTAAATGGCATTACTTCATTCTTTTTTATGGCTGAATAATATTTCACTGTATATAAATATAGACCACACCTTCTTTATCCATGCATCTTTTGATGGGTACTTATGCTGCTTCCAAGTCTTGGCAACTGTAAACAGTGCTGCTGTGAACACAGTCCTACTTTTGACAAGGAGGCTCAGGGACCTTATATAACCCACCCAAGGTCATCAGCTAGTAAGTGACACAGCATTGGTCTTTGTCACCCCGAGGCCCATGTTCCTTCTTTCACACTTGACTTTGTAACTTGGGCAAGAATCATCACACTTTGCTGGGCCTCGGCTGTCTCACGCACAAAATGGGAGTAATGTTGCTTTTCCCTCTCACACCCCGGGGCTGTGGTCTGGGTGAGATGCACTCGGAGGACTTTGGGTGCTTCGAAAACTGCAGTGACTCACACCCACGATGCCCACTCTTGCCCCTCAAGATTACAGACCAGCTCTCTGCAGGCCAGGATTGTGGTCTGCACAGCCGTGCAGACACAGAGTAAATACTCAACAAACATGTGGGCTGAACCCAGGAGGGCTGTGGTGGGCAGGACCCGGCAGCACTGACGTGAGGTTTCCTGTCACCCCCAGATGGAGGCAGTAGGCAACCCTACTAGGAGTGGAGTCAGGAAGAAGGGGGAGGCCCGCAGGCTTGATAACCTGCCCGCTTCCTCTGCCACCCAGCCACATCAAAGCGAGATAAACTGTTTCACTCATCCCCATGGCAACTGACTCCCTAAGGCTCCATGGGTGGAGGGCCCAGCTCCCCAGGTCCCTCATCATCTTCTCCCTGTGGCCTTGCCAGGACCCATCTGTTAAGCTAAGACCACCCAAACCCTAATGCCCCCAGCAATGGGAAATCAGTATAGGCCAGCATTCATCCTCACACACTGCTCTGAGAGGGAGACATTATTGTACTCCCATTTCACAGATAAGGAAACTGAGGCTCCTATGACATTAAATGTCTTGACAAAGGCTCCCCAGCCACAAAATTTGAAACCACGATGGTCTAGTACCCAGTACTGGTAACCACCAAGTGATTCAGCCGCTGCCTCTCCTCCAGAGCTAACTGCCCCGCCTCCATCCTACCCACGCCACCCGACCCCTTTCCTCCCATTGCCTCCTTGATCTGGGGTTACTGGCGGTGGAGCCACTCAGCAGTAAGGCAAAACTATCACCATGTGCCTTTACAAAGTAACACTAAAGCACTTCCTAATTAGCCCTCTTAAGGGTACGTAGGAGAAGGTAATTTGGATTAATTTACTGTTTGCTATTAATGAGGGCTCATGTTCTGTGAAATCAGAGGTTCACTTGTGGATGTGAGGTGAGTAATTTTTGTTCGGTACACAAGGTAACTTTAAAGGTTTTTCCCCTCATAGATGTTTTATTCCCCAATGTGATGTTAACCTAACTTTGTATCTAATCCTGCCATCTTATTGTGGCTTCTATGAGAAATTTATTTCAGTTTCTCATACCTTTCTTTAAACCAGCTCTCCAGCCTTGCTGGTTCCCTCAGTAACGAGTTGAATGCGTCTCTGACACAGGCTCACTACACATCAGAATGAGTGCTAGGTTTTTTAATTATTTGAAAATGATTCCTTGTCATGAGAGAGAGAGCTAATGGTTTCCTATCTCGGTTCTGCTTTCCCTGGAAGAGGAGACGCTCCTAGCATGGGCAGCCTGGCCTGAGCATCTCCCTTTAGGCATTTGCTTCTCGGTCCCCAGCACATCGGAGGCATCACATGGTCCCGGGGCAAGAACCACAGGAAGACACTCAGCAGTGAGTGACTAGAGTTCCAGGAGTCCTCCCTGCTCTGAGTCCAAGGACCCTCATTCCATTTCCATCTCCAGCCGTTACTCTGCCTGGCTCTTGTTCCCCAAGCTGAGAACCCCACGTCCCAGAGTCTGAGCCTCTCCACAGCCCGCCCTTCTGCTCCGCATCTGTTCCCTGGGCTGCTCAGAGCAGAGTTCCTGCTCAGCTGCCCACAAAAACATCTCAAGGCATAGCGTGCATTCAGCTGGTGAGAGCCAGCTGGTTCCACTTGAAATTGGGAAGCGGTCTCCCTGCACGCAGGTGACAACTCTCCCCCAAGCCAGCATCTCCCTTAGTCATTTCAAAGTCAGGGCATTTTGATCTTTGCTATAGACTGAAGGTCCTGCCAAGGTATTTGCATTTTAAATCCTTTCTATCTAATTACAGAAACGAAGAAAAGCTTTGCATTCTTGCTAAAGGAATTCTGGTTACCAGCAAGAAGCCCAGAGGCATCTAGACCTGTTTGTTTTGGGGGTCAGTAGGTTGGGAGGGAATGAAGGAGATTAACCTTAAATTGGCTTGTTCGCTTAGGGTGCCTTGGGAAGCTAGGCTGGCTGACCTGTCTATTCACCATGTGCCCCGACACCTTTCCTAGTCCAACCCCTTCTCCTCGGGGCCTGATTTCTCAAGTCGTCCACCTGAGTCTCTACCAGGAGGTAAGGTCCAAGTAATAGGCAGACTCGCTGATGGCTAACCCTAACCCGTGTCTGTTCAGCTCCTCTGTAACAACAGACAGCTGACTGGCTGGGGGAAGACAGATCAGCTGACTGCTTGGAGGAAGACAGATTAGCTGATTGGTTAAAGGAAGACAGCTCAGTTGACTGACTGGGGGAAGACAGATAAGCTGATTAGTTAAAGGAAGACAGGTCAGCTGACTGCTTGGAGGGCCTCTTGTCATTATTGCCGGGGCTTCTCTGACCCGGGCAGCCTCAGAGACCCCCTGGGCTAACCAGAGCAGGGGCCCAGGCTGCAAAGTGGGGTCTTCTTGCCCCGAAGCCTGGCTCAGCTTCTCCTAATGATCCCCCCCTTGAGCTCCTGCCTGTGTTTGCTGCTTTCAGCCACCTGATGATGGTGCACACACGGTGCCACAGCCCCACGAAGAGGAGACGCCAAGGTTGTGGAGCCGACCACGGGCAGAGAAGAGCTGAGGGATGCGAGGTGAGGAGGGTCGTACCCAGAGCCCAGCTTTAGAAGAGCTGGAAATGTCCTGACTGCGTGATCCCTGCCCCAGGTGCCGGCCATCTCAACACTTACCTGGGGCCTTCAGCTCAGCATCGATGAAGGTGAGCAGTTCCTGGCAGATGCTACAGTAGGGAACAGGCCAGGTCAGGAACCGGTGGTAGGTTCTGGCTGCTTTCAGAAGGAGATCTGAGTCTGGTGGGAAGTGTGGTGTCTGGGATGGAGAGGGAGTGGCAAGCAGAGAGGTCTGGTGAGAGAAAGCTCACTGATGTTCCGGAGCAGACCCTGCTGCTTTCTGGAATGTTCCACAAAGGGCACACATTTCCTGGCAGCAGCATGTCCCAGGATGAGGGCAGGTGGAATTGAAAGTGAGTTACAGACAAAGTGGTGCCCAGGGATGTACCAAGCGTAACAGTTTACCAAACACACACATCAGAGCACTGCTCTGAAAAGCTGTCATTTGGAGGTCATCCTAAATGGTGTCATGGCTGCCACTCATTCTGGGGACTGGTCTGCAATGCCTAAACCACCTTCACCCTCACAAGAGGCAAATGCTTATTCTTTGAAGTGGATTGACTCAATGTACATGGAGTCCTTTGGTACCTCCAGTCTGATGAACAAGGGGCGATCACACTGGGTGAAACTGGCCACTGAGGTACAAGATGAGGTGGACATCGACTCTCTTAATGGAATCTCTTTTGTAGCTTGGGAGCACACTGTGACCACACTCCCTCCCCTCCGTGCCCCGCTGCGCTGGGCACAGTGGCGTCCTGTGGAGTAACTGGAGCCCTCTCAAGACGGCTAAGCAGAAGCCATTAGAAAGCTGATGCCCGCCTTGCTGGACACTCTCTGTGTGTTTATCCTCAGAGCTGTGAGGGCTGTGCCCCCTTCCTCGGAGGCTGCCCTCCCTCCTGCCCGCCTCCCCCGGCCCGCCTCCCCCGGCCTAGGCCAGCCTGGAACTTACACAGAGGACAGTAGAATAGAAGAGCAGGGCCAGGGGGGCGAGGAGGTCATAGGTGCCCTTCTCCTGGACCTGCGGCAAGAACAAGAGAGGAGGCGTGAGGCTCACAGGGTGCGCAACAGAGCAGCGCTTCCTTCTCTGTTTCTTTGCTTTTTTTTTTAAGTAAAAAGGAACATAATCACAAGACCAAAATGTAGAAAATAGAAGTTAAACCCCCCCACGATATCCCTCTTCCAAACCCAGCCACAGCCAACGTGTCAACGTACTTCTTACACCCTTCTTTCCTATGTATTTTCTCTGCAAAGTTGTAAATCGCTGTGGGCACATTTTTACCCCTAACCTCTTTTAACAAAAATTATTATAAAGAGATTTCTGTTTTGCTACATCACCTCTAAGACCACCTTTTTTCCCCTCCTGGTTATACGTTTACTTGCTATGTGTGTTGTAAATATTTTTGTTGGTTTTTCAATTTTACTCATTTTTTGATGTACATAAATGACAAGTGCTAACTTTTTCCGTTATGAATTTTTGCTTTGCATGCAAGGGTCATTTAAACATTCACGAATATTTTCTCCTTTCCTTCAAAGCTTCATTTTCTTAAACTGAAATCTTTAATCCACCTAGAATTCCATCTGCTGTAGAATATGAATTGGGAATCTCAATTCATATTTTTTGAAACGTTTAATCAGTTTCCCCTAAACCATTTGATACATTTTACTGATGCAACTTTTTAATATATTCAGTTTTGTTTCTACCCCTAAGTAATATCCATCATTTTTATTAGCTGTAGAATAGTATTTCTGGTAGATCTCCATAATTTATTAGCTTTATTTCAGATACTTGAGATTAATTTCTTGCTATTTTAAGTACCTGTGCAATGAACACCTTTGTGCACATTCCTTTTTCTGTAATTTGAATTATTTATTCAGCATAGAGTTCAAGAAGTGGAATCAGTGGATTAAAGACTATTAATATATTTATGATCTTTGAAACATATCGCCAAATTGCTTTCGGAAAGAATTCTGCCATTTATAATCCCCTGTACATATGAAAGTACCAGTTTCACTGTACCCTCCCCTGCATTTGTTATTATAATGTTTCTGTGAATTTGCTAGGCAAAAGCTGTGTCCTGGTGGTTTTAATTTGCATTCATTTTATTATAACTGAGGCGACACTTTCCATATTGTTTACAAGCTCTATTTACTCTTCTGTGAACAGTCTCTTTGATAGAGCCCACCCTCAGCGCCATGTACACGCATGTAGATACACAGTTTAGAAAAAGTGCTGAAGGTCCCTCAGCCCATTCTGGAATTCACGGGGGTTGAAGAGGCAGAGAAGGCCCCACCATCTCTGCTGTGCCTGGTGACCTCAGCAGAATCAAATTTCGAGTTCTCTTTCTCTTTCCCCTGAATAGACCACATGTCCAGCACACCTGCTGCTCGACCCCTTCTTTGCAAAACCCTCCCCTGTTGCTACACGGTCGTGGATCCTTTATATTGGGTTTATAAGCTAAGCACTCCAGAGGTGGTCTCGCTCTGCCGAGTTCTGAGTGCTTGGGATCAGGGTATAAGAGCAGCAGGTAAATGGTGCTGCCAGCACTGGAACCTTGGGTGTCTTGATAAACCGAGACCTTCTTCTTATGGGTAAAGAGACAGCTGAGAAAGTCACGTGTTTTCCAACTCAGTCACGTATCAAAAAAAAAAAAAAGAAAACTTAACGAAGGAAAGTTCTTTATAAAAGAGCCAGTCTCCTTAGGGACTCACACTGTTCTGGAACCCCAGCCCAAATCAGCTTTTCTTCCACGTCAGAAAAGCCTGACTGACGGGTGACGGGAGGTCTCAGTTTACCTCTCCAATCTGTTTTCTCTTTCGTGTCTTTGTTCTGATGCATCTTTTGGAGGAAAGGAATTCAGCAGAGCTTCTTCCCTTCTTCCTAATCAATACCTTGACCTACATACAACGTCTGTCTTAAGAAGCAGCTTACACTCGGGACCTGGCTCAGGGACCATGTGTTCTTATCGAAAGGACCACACCCCTCCCCCTGCCCCCAGGCTTTCGCTGAAGCAGAGAAGGCGCAGGCTTCCAATGCCTCCGCCAAGCCCCTCGGTGGTCCGGGCACCCCAGACCTGAGGTTCTGTGGGGACCTATTTCTCACGTCTGTGAAGCCGATCCCAGCCCACCCTTCAGCCCCGGGCTGGCCCTCACCTCTCGGGTTTTCTGCAGGATCTGCTCCAGGAGGATAAGGAAGTGGCCCGGATCCCGGCTGACCAGCTCCTGCAGGCTCCAGCAGTTCAGACACAGCCCCGCTGCAAAGGGGGAGAGAGGGTCCGTGTGGGGCTGGTGAGAAGTGGAACTTCCCGGGGCTGCTCTGGGGCCTTCCTTTCTGAAGTCAGAGTCTCAGAAAATTCTGGATCAACACACTTGACCCTATGACGCCCCATCGAGACTCAACAAGTTTCTTCTTCCCACATGGGCAGGAGGCTCAAGAGACACAGAGATGGGCCGGGATCCCCCTTGGAGGCCCGGGAACCGGCCACGGTTCTGTTCCCCGCACCGCTGGGGAGCACCACTTCCCCACACCGTCCCTGCCCTGGGCTCCCACGGTTCGCAGGGAAGGGGACGGGGCAGAGATCGCTAGAAGAATAAGGAGAGAAGCCCGGGCAAGGTGATCCCACCCGGGACATGAGGCGGAGTCTGGGCAGCCGTGGGACCTCCCGGGACTGCCGGCCAGGAAGGGGAAACGCCATTCATCTCTACTTCGAAAGCTGTCACTCTGCGACTTCCCCAGACTTTCTTATTTTGTCAGTCTCTGCTTCCCTGCAGTCAGCAAAACCCTCCAAAATGAAAAAGGGCTGTCTCAGAGGCGTGTGTGTGTGTGTGTGTGTGTGTGTGTGTATGTGTGTGTGTGGTGGGCAGTGAGAACAGTAGGGGCAGAAGTGGCCCATTCATGTGACCGGGCTCCTTCCAAAGTCCTGAAGTGTGTCCACATGGTCACAAGTTTTTGTAAAATGTGCAAAAATACAGATATTTTTATATTCTCTGACTTAATGATGGCCCCTCAATTCTATAAGCTTGGTCCCACTGAAACCTGAGTAGGAGGCCAGAAGGAAGAAAACTGCCATTTCCTGAGCACCTTCTGTGCGCCTGTGAGATGCTGGCACTGTCCTACATCATCTCCACTGGGTCTCCCATCCTCCCCTTGGGAAGTGGTTCCTGCAGTAATTATTCTTGTTTTACAGACAAGGCAGGTGAGTCCTGCCAGGTTAAGAGACTTGCACAAGTCCATATAGCTGGTGAGAAACAGTTTTAAGCCAGGTGGGCTTAATTCCAAGGAAAGCCTCCCCAAGGAGGTGACATTTGAGCTGAGACCTGGATGGGAAGGAGCCAGATCTGTGCAGTTCCTAGAGAAGTCCAGGCAGCAAGTGCAAAGGTCCCGGGGTACAAAGGAACCAAGGATGTCCAAGGAGCATGGGTATCTATCTCATGGGGTAGTTAGGGAGACAAGTGAGATGTGAAAAATCTTTGAGTGGAAGGAATTATTACAGTTTGGCAGCAGCTTTCAGAGACCACGGCCCCCGCCTGCAGAGACCACGGCCCCACCTACAGATACCCCCGTTCCTCCGTCCTGGGAACGTGGAACATGGAGGCCTCCTGTGCCCTGAAGTTCTGCTGAGATTCTCCATTGTGCTGTGGGGAAGAGGAGGATGGAGCCATGGAGGGAACTAGAAACCAGGTGAGCAGGAGCTTCTGGGGAGAGCTGTCTACACATTCCCAGCTACAATTTTGGAATCAGGAGTTGTGGCCTTTCTAAGCAGGTCCAATACCTTCTTCAGGGACCTATGTTTCTTGCACACACTAAGGAAGCAAGGTTCAGTGCCAAGGAGGGTGAGGGCCACTCTCCATCAGGCGCTATGCTGCACACCTTCCCAGGTGAGGTCCAGGGGCTTGCTCAAGTCAGTCAGGGCTGGAACCAGAGTCTGCCAGTTCCATGCCTGGTCCAGTGCTTACCGCAGCCCCCGAGACTTCCTCGGGTTCTAAATGTGCCCCCCAGCTCCCTCAGACCTACCTGACCAGGAGGTGGAGCGGCGGCTCAGGCTGAGCCCGTGCAGGCAGCGCTCCAGGGCGTGCTGGATGCGGTCCTCCGTGCACGTCGTGGCCCCTGGCTGCATCCTGAGTCATCGCCTGCGTGGGGGACAGACAGCAATCAGCCTGGAGATCCTCAGGTACGAGAAGCACGTGGCCTAGGGTGATGGCAGAGACAGCGGGCACTCACAGCCCAGTGCCATCAGCCTTGCAATGGCCCAGGTACCGGCTGCCTCCATGGCTGGAATGGCTCCTGGGCTCCTGGGCTCCTGGGGTTGCTGCTTGGAGCAGCAGGACAGAGCCCTCCTGCAGCCCAAGAGCACAGACTATGAGAAGCGAGGGGTCAGGGGAGGGGTGGGAGTGGAGAGGTGTGGGCAGTAGCGAGTGTCTCCAAGAGCCCGGGGAGTGCCCAGGGTGGGGCAGGAGGACCCCAAGGGAAAAAATCAGAATCACTTGGGGGACTTTTTCGGAATTTTCAGGCCCACGTCCCCCACCCCTCAGGGATGGGCCTTCAGTGTGCCGGCTGCTCCAGGGCGGGGGCTGCCTTCACAAGTCCCCCAACCCCACCCCACCACAGCCACTGCACGGGTGCCCAGGCCACAGGCACCTGGTCATTTTCTGCCCTCACCTCCACCTGGGCCAGCTTTCTTTGCTTTCTCAGAGGCTTAGTAGCAATGCTACCTCTCTGGGCGTGGTCTTCCAAAGAATCCCCTTCCTCATCCTACTGAGGAGAGACAGAGGTGCTTAGCTCAGGCTGGAGGGCCACTGAGGAGGAGCTTTAAGAAGGGGTTTTAGCACCAGATGGAGAATTGTGCCACGGGCCACATTCTGAGAGCCTCTGGCAGGACCAGCCCAGCTTCACAGGGATGTGTGTGGTCTCCTGAGTTCCCCGGGAAGCTGTGACAGGTAGTTTAGCATAGAGAATAAGCCTGGCTTCTGGCATCAACAAACTTAAGATTCAAATCTTGACTCTGGTATTTGCTAGCCATGCCATTTCTTTAAGTTTGCTGAACCTCAGTTTACCTCTCTGTAAAATGGGTTGGCGACAGTACTAACCCCGTAGGGCTGTTGGGAAGATTAAATGCCACAGTGGATGTGCTGAGCAAGCTCTCAAGACATGAAAGCTTTCCTGCTACAGTCTTGGCCACAATCGCTCTTGCCCTCAGAAATCTGGCGGCATTCACCCGGTCCAGGCAGAATCTGCGGCTGGCCACTCAGGCTAGCTCATAGAAGGAAGCCGAGGAAGTGGTCCGTCCAGCTCCATGGGCCTGAGGATGGACCAGGAAACCACAAGCAGAAGCACAGAGCTCAGAGCTGAGCCATGCAAACAACATGCAAAAAGCTAAGAAATCCTACCCTGGACCCAGCAGTCAGCTCCCGGACGCCCCCGTAGGCAAATCCACCTATTCCCCAGCCATGGAGGAACCAGGCACCGAGGGAAACAGAAACCCTTTGTGAGCCGCCCAGCGTCACTTCACTTCGGTGATGTCCCTGGAATGGAGGGTCGGGGGGTGGTGGTGCACACGGGAAGCAGCACACACAGGTTCATTGGACTTGAGCTGTTTTGATGAGACTTTCCCTGGTGGGCCCCCCTGCAGAGTGAGGGACACTTAGTAGTAAAAGGCTGAAGGCTGGACCACCTCTGGGGGAAGCTGGAGGGAGCAGGATGAAGAGACAGGCACTCTGTGACACAAGAGAGATTAAGCAGCTGGCCTAAGGGCACACAACTAGGAGGTGGCAACCCAGGGAGTCTGGCTCTTGACCACTGTAGGACACTGCCCCTCAGCACAGTCAGATGCAGTTACTGGAAGAAAAATAAAACCAATTCATGTTTCTATCCCAACAGGGGAAGACTCAATGAACTATAACATTATCTTGCTTTAGGAGACCTACACTCCCAGTGGCTGGGAATCTTGAGCTCACTAGGTCCGTCTATACCAGCTGCCCACTGCGACCCCGCCTTCTCCAGAGAGAGGACCAGGGCTCACAGAAGCAACAACCTAGGCTGGACCAGGCGATGACCGTGGTGGCTGGAGGGGCCCTGGTGTCCTCTAGCTTGGAGCCAGGGCTGCACCCTGTGAACTAGGTTTAAAGATCCCTCTGCCCAGCCCCTGCTGCTTGGAGGAGTTGTCTGTGTCACGAGGCAGGAATGAGTCACCGCCCTAATGAGTCCCGCTGTAACTGATGCAAAGACAAGATGCAAATGAACCTCCTCAGCCGACATCACTTCTGCTACAGTGGTGTCCTGGGGCTGCGAGCAGCCAGCACAGAGCCTGCTCCCGCACCCCCACCAACGCCTGCAGGCCCATGCGTCTTCCCTCCTCTGGGCCCTGAGCATCTCTCCCGTCTCCTGGCCTCAGTGTCCCCAGCTGTTCATTGCAGACAATCAAGACTTTATCCTCAGGGCACAGGGCAGAGTTCCCGGTGTGCCAGCCTCCCTGGCACCCTGAGGCCATCGAGAGCTTGCCCCAAGTTTTCCCTGAGAGGCAGGACTTGCCCAAGGCGCTGGGCCCTGGGAGCCGAGGGATGGGACCCTGGACGGGGACCCTTAGCTGAGCGGCCCTAGCGGTTAATCCAGCACACTGTGGCCTGCCGCCTGGCCCCCTGGCACACTCGTTTCCGCTTGATGAGTCAGTTGTCAGCCACTTCTGGTGACTCGTCAGCAGAACCCCAGTGGCTTTGGGGTGGAGATGAAGGGGGAAGAGGTCGTACCTCTCTCTCCCCAAGGATGATGCCCTGTTTTCAAAGGCTTGATAGGCAAGGCCTGGCTTCCCTGCATCCCCCTCTCGAACCCCGCTTGCCACCTGACTAAGAGGAGCTCGGGTTGTGCAACTGCAGCTGCTGCCGGGAATGGGAATGCCCTGCCCTCCCCACAGAGGGCTGGTGTTGAAACACTCAGCAACAGGCCTGCCCCCCACCACAGCCTCCAAGTTCCTCTTCTGAGCCAGGAAGGATGAGTCCTTACTGGGGACCCTGAACAGGACAGTGAGGCCTGGAGCGGGTCCGGGGCTGGTGTCCAGAGGACAGAGGGGGTGCCTCTTCACATGCTGACATGGCCCCATGATGCGAGACAGCGGTGGTCTTCCCTCACGGGCAGGACTAGTGCAAGGGGCCGGGTCTGCCTGGGCCCAGCTTCCTGGGCAGCACCATGTCGGGCAGGGGAGAGCTTCTTTTCCTGGGGGACTTCTCAAACAGTGCAGGATGGCAGAATTGGAGGGCCTGCATCTCCGAGGGAGGAAAGCGTGGGCTTCCAGGCTCTGGTGGCACCCTACACTGCTTCCCTGGTGGTCTGGAGTATTCCAGGTCCAAGCTTTGGAGCCTTAGTCCCACAGGTGGACATGAAAGAAGCACCAGGGCATGTGGCCCTGCGCTGACCCGACCGGCTTCAGCCCTGGGTCATCCTCCCCCTCCCCCTTCCCATCGTCCTCTGCGACTTGACCTCCCTTCTCTGCCACCACCTTCCTCCTCATAACTCCTCGTAGGGCAGAATCTCTTCTGTGAACTGACTTTTAAAAATTTCGTTTCCAATACAGGAAGGATACACCAGAAACCAAAGAGACTGCGGTGAGACGGGGTGGGAAGGATATGGGAATGAGATGGGGGTGATGAGGGGAGGCAACACTTCTCTGGGGACACCTTTACACATGGCTTTGATGCTTAGAACCATAGCAATAGTTTATATTCCCAAAATGAAATAAATAAATAAAAGCAGGATATGGGGGGGAGTGCAGGGAGAAAAAGGGAAATACACAATAACAAATTAACCTACCTGGACTATAAATGATTAGCACACTCACATTGAAAGGAAAGGGGAATGCAGGAACTAACTGGAGTAACTTTGGAAAACAGAATTTTGATATAGATACGGCAAGGCTAAAGACAAAATGAGTCGTATACAAATACTGTGTGCTAGTTACTACATCTGTTTCTCATAGGGATGTCGGTTAAAAATCCTGAAACTTCTTCATGTGAATGCTAGGACTGAACAAATAAGTAAACAGATCACAGATAATGAGCGTCAGCTTCTCACTTGCATTAATATGCAAACATATATTTCCTAGCTCAGTCCACTGAGAGAGCCTAGAAACAATGCCTTCCCAGTAACAATGAGCACACGTAGTGCCCAGACCTTGGTTTCTAAACACCACTCTCCACTCAGAGGAACCAGGGCTCTTTAGAGAAATGGTTGATTCTAGGAACGGGGCAGGAAACACAGAAGATAAGCCTGGAGACCTGGAGCATCTTGAAGAGCCAGAAATTAAGTCAATACGTGAAAAAGGTTGGGGAAGGCCAAAAAGGACACAGGGGCCAGCTTAAAGGAGCTTCCAATGGCCAAAGCTGGGATAATTTGAACAACTACATAATGGAAGCGCGCTGGATTATAATTGATAGGATGAAATAAATACCCATGAGCCCACACTAATGTCATAAATAATAAAGTAACAAAAATAAATGGAGAAGAAGGGATAGGTCTTCTTTAGAAAAGAATTCCAATTCATAAATGTGGGAGGAATGAGAGAAATACAAAATGGCCGTTAAACGAACACCAGAGTAATAATTATTGCAGGCAAGATCCACCAATGAACGCTAAAATCTGTGGGTGAAAACTGGAGACGAAACAAGATTATTTGCACAGTCTCAGAGTATTTCCGCCAAGAAACTGATCAATTACAAAGGAGAAAACAATAACTTCACAGTGAAGAAATCCAGCACTGCCTTAATCTCATGACCAAAGTTAAGATCACCAATAATGAGATGTATCAACATCACGTTCCCCTGATAGGAGGCACTGAGAGGAACATGACATCACTTCTCTCTGGGGATTCTGGCCAAAAGTTCATAACCACACAATCTAACCATGAGCAATCATTCAAAACCCAACTGAGAGAAATTCTATAAAGTAACTCACCAGCCATTCACCAAAGAGTCAAGGTCACAAAATACAAGGCGAGACTGAGGAACTGTCATAGATCAAAGGAGACTCAGGAGACACATAAACTAAATGCAATGTGGGAACTTAAGACTAGATTCTGGAACTGAAAAGGGATGTCAGGGGGAAACTGGCTAAAATCCAAATAAGGACTTGTATCGATGATCTT